TATATATATATATATATATATATATATATAATATATATACATATATATAAATGTGAAAGCGCTTACTTGCGAGCGAGCGACTTCGGACTTTTGCGATTTAGGCGGGGTGAGATTCTCGCAAGTCTCATCGAGTCGAAATTTTAGTCCTACTTTTAAATCCAATTTAATTCTACGTTAAGTGTTGTTCAGAGGTCTTCTATCGTACTCCTTTGGTGCTACTAATGGGAAAGCTATTGCCGTTTTCTCCGCTCGAAAACTTGATGTAGAACTAAAATTTTGACTTCGGGAGACTGAATTCCCTTTAGTAGCATTTAAACGAATTCTTTCTTATTGCGCTCCTTTGATGTTACAAGCGGGAACTTATTTCTCTCCCGTTCCCTCCGCTCGAAGACTTAATGTAGAATTTAAAACTTCGACCCGGATTAAGATACGTACGTAGTAGTTACTCGTATCCGCACCCGAGTGTGCCGTTCCCGCGGACGTCAGTCGAAATTAATTAAGAGTCTGAGCGATTCTTCGCTTCTTTCTATTTTTAGCCGTAAGGAGAGACGGAGGATCGATCGACCTCGAGTCGGTCTCGGCTTGCGGGAACGGAACGGTCCAAAGATAGGTGGGCGATGTTCCGCGCGCTGGACCGGTCCAGCGATATCGCACTTCCGTTGACAATTTATAGACGTTATACAAATCGATATGTCGTCATTATGTCTCTCTCTCTCTCTCTCTCTCTAGAAGTGTGTACGTACGTTGAGATACTTGCCATTCCACGGAAATTAGCCGATACGTTAATTCAGATCGATGTGCTGTTATCTTTGTATTGTAGACCTAAGCCGTCTCCACGCGCTTCGCTAACGTAGAAATCGATAGGGCAGCCGTTCTTTCCGTTCCTTTTTTCTCTCCTTCGTTCTTCTCATCACGTGGTCAATTGGCTGCTTCTCACAGAGCTTCTTATAAACACGCTCACCTCTTTTGGAATTATTATTAGAGACAAACTGACGGCGATCGCGCGCGTTATCCTGACGATAGCCGAGCTACTCTATATTCTGAACGCTGGAGACACGATCGTCCGCTTCTCGGTGTTGCTTCCGTCTGCGCGAAAAATTCGCAGAGAAGCGGGTGACTTGGCGCTTTGGTTGTGTGTGCGCGCGCGCGCGATGGAAACCGTCAAGCCTTCATTTCGCCATCGTTTTCGCTGTACGTTGTTGAATTCTGATGTATATACATGTTGTTGAAGACGTATCATATATTGATATATCTATCTCTTGAGAGAGAGAACTTAATCTTAAGTGTCGCGTGACGTGTAAAATTTGGACCTTGGAAACACACAATCGGGACACCACGGGAGAATCTTCCTCGACCCGCCATCTCCGAATCTCACATACGTCTCTCGGCATATTTGAGTGTTTGTTCACCTCACGGAATTGACGGGTGATGTGATTCACTCCTGTCCAAACGTAACAATGAAATGTCTAAATCGTCAGCAATACCGAAGTAATTACACTTGAACGATGCATCTCGTTTTCGAGCCGCATGGTTCTATACACATATATATTTTTACCGCACTGGACAGTTTGTTGGAAAGTTTTCAGGAGGATCCCCTGAATTCGCTCTCTCTCTCTCTCTCTCTCTTAGAGTTGTTCTTAATGTTAGCATCCTTTAAATATACCTTATTCTCCCACAAATCTCGTACATTGCTGAGAATTCTCGTTAAAGAGAGAGAGCCCAGTCAACACGTATGTCTAAAAGGCGTCTCAGAGACGTCCTTCAGACGTCTTATTGTCTAAAAGACGTCTTTACGACGTCTTTCAGGACGTTATTAATGTTATCTGGGAGTAATGTCGATCGCGCCGTCGGACAGTTCGTACTATCTATCGAGATGTTTTCTTTTTCTGAGATGCATGTGAGATATGCGTAATTTCTCGCATCTTGGTGAGTGGTTAATGTTGTACTTTTATAAATACGTACGTACTTATATTTTGTACTGACAGTACCTCACGCCTCGTGCGCCGAGGTGCATGATTAATGGGCAGGTAAATTATTTAACACGGGGGGGGGGAGCGGCTATGCATGTGTATTGTACGTGTTACATGTGACTGTCAATGACTCGTTTAGGCGTTTAGGATCGCTGTGACTCGCGAAACGATGCGAAAAAGGAAGATATTTCGTTGAGTAATTGTCCCGGGTGATAAAGCGACGCACTTATTTCATGTACCAATGTTGTAGGAGAGGAAATAAAGTTACGATTCCATAACTTGGATCGAGAGACATATGCTTTCCGCATTTTGACTGCAAATGTCCCTTCATGAATAATGATCTTGCATCGCGAAATCTCGAGTGCAAATCTTAATTTTCTCTCTCTTACTTTCTTCCGTCTCTGTTTTTTATTTCCGATGAAATTTTTAATAAAATTACTTTCTGTCTTCATTATTAATATTTATGCGTCTTATAATTACATTTTATAATTACACAACACTATTCCTTATTAAAAACTAAGTAAAAAATTCCTGAATTCTTTTCCTGTGATATTTATAAAATACTCCATCTCAAGTGTTACTTAGCATCTTCAGATGAGCAACTCGTGATAATAAAAAGATATAAAAAACTTATGAAACAATGATTATTAATTAAAACTTAGATGATTAACATTATAGTTCATACGAGCGCATATTCATATGTCATAGTAGACAATTAAGAAGTGTTCCGCATGAAATAAGAAAAACGTGACGCTTTGAGTTAAATAATAATGAAAATAGTAATGAGAAGAAGTTATTTTGAGACTTGCCTGAACGCTGTGCTTGAAGAAGTGCAGTATCCATACCATTAATGGCGCCATGTAGAGCGCATTCCACTTAACGTTCGCACCCAGTGATGCCAATGATTGGTATCACTGCTCGTAACGATCGCGAGCTTAGGCCGAATGTGCAATGTCCAATAAGATTAGAGCAAAGGAGAATTCATCCTTTGACAGAAGCAATAGCCAATCAGAACTTGCGCTAATAGTCGACAGCTTTATCTATTCCTTACTACCAGCGCGAGTAGTCTGATTGGCTGCTGCTTTTCTGTCAAGGTGTGAATTCTCCCTAAGACATATTTTGTCTCGCTTTAATTGATCGCACTAGTCCAGCAGTGCTAAAGCTAAAGAGAACAGACTACATAAGTAGTTTTAAGAATTGACGCACTCGTGTTTGCAGAAACTGGCACAACTCTGAATTTTGAATAAACGTAAAAAGTCGTGATTATTATAGATCAAAATGAGCAAGGCGCATCCACCAGAGCTCAAGAAGTAAGTGTTCTCTTCCATTTTACAGCGTAATTCTTCGCAACGTCACTTAGTCATTGAATTTAACATCACATTTAAATACATTATTTTATGTATTAAAACTTCTCACTTTGTTTCAGATATATGGATAAGAGATTGTCTCGTAAGTATTACGTCGCGAAAGAGCGTTAATAATATGCACATATAAATGCACATTAAAGAAAGAAATTAGCTTGCCGTTTAATTATGTTAGGTTAGGTTGAGGTATATTATTATTGTTTTGACTCTACTTCAAATCTTGCAGTGAAACTAAATGCAGGACGACACGTCACCGGCATATTGAGAGGTTTCGACCCGTTCATGAACATGGTTATAGATGAAACCATAGAGGAATGCAAGGATGGCACCAAAAACAACATCGGAATGGTGGTAAGTTATGTCAAAATTCTTCAAGGTATTCTACAATGCGTCGCAAAAGTCCTGCATTTTCGCAATAGATAGTCGTGGTTGCTTAACGAGAGTTGTCCAACTTGTAACATCTCATCGCAACTCAAAATAGCACTTCATAACTAGTAGTTGTCATTCTTTGTGACTGACGACAATACATTGTAGAATACCCTTTACAAGGAATAGATTATATAGATTGAAAGCTCATGAATCAGTATAACGTCACCATCAATAATCATATTATAGATGAGTTTTATAGATATAATTATATGAGTTGTATTTCTAGGTAATCCGTGGCAACAGTGTCATAATGTTAGAAGCTTTAGACCGAATATGATTTGTGTTACTAGAACTTGAGTTACCTTTGACATACATACTTTTAAATAAATAAGCAAACTTTTTTGTAAAATATACAAATGCCTTGATCCTTAACCTTTAACAATTATTTGAACAAAACATATATAAATGCACGCTTGCAGCAACTATTCGTTGTAAGATTTTCTTTATATTTATATAAAAGTATATTTTTTGTGATATCTTACGTTAATATTGTATCATTTTTTTTGTAATTACCATACATTAATAAAATATCGGGGGAAAATGTTTTATTAACGAATTTTCATTATAAATAGCGGTAAGGTAAAGGGATAAAAATACAAAATTGTTTATCTCACATATTGCAAACGGAATGAATACATTTTATAACCAATACATCGTAAATCACTCGTTAACATGTCTATTTCATCATGAAACTTGTCAAATATAGCTTGTATAAATATCTCTTTTCTTTTTACATATCTATGTTGCAAGCTTTATGCTTGTGCATTACAGTATTATATAAAACAAGTTATAAAGGAGATTGACTTCTACAGTTTATCTTATAACAAACATTGAGTTTACGATTGAACAGAACAAAGCGTTTCGACTTCACGTACGCGTTATATAGGCGGGGTATCTCAATACTGTTCGCTACTTAGAGGGGGAAAGAGAGAAATTCGCTGAAACTATTCTAACAACGATAAAAACGCGCAACAACAAGCAACATATTTGTATTAAATTTTAATATTTGCAATACAAACATACGCTCGTCAATGTCAGAGGGAAAATATAAAAAGCGCGTATTCCAACAGATTTTATTTCTACGCACAGATATTGCTTCAATAAATCTATAAAAAATAAATTATAATTGTATCAGCAAAAATACATGGAGAATTTTAAGATCCAGATGGATCCAGACCAAGGGAACGAGTACGAAGGAGAACATCTGCAAATGAACCCGGAAAAGGAGTCGCGAAGTACAAGCACATGAAGAATAAACATCAGCGTTCGATCTTGTACATCAAGGAAAACGTGTTGGTCCATACTCGTTTTCCCAGCTCGTTCGCAGATGTTCCTTCGTGCTCGCTCGCTCGGTTTGGATCCGTCTTTACAAGGCACGCGATATCTATAAATTGGTCGCATTCAGGAACATTATTTACACCATTAAACAAACGCACATTAACACAACATTGTACATACGTTTGTATTCTAGTAGTAGGACGGGACACTTCATATTGTTTTTCACAAAATGTGGCAATGTAAGATATTGCATGCGCCGTTAACAATATCTCACAGTTTCGCATCGTTTGTACCGTTTGCGTGCTGTGAAACAAAAATGTTCGGTAGACGCTAATAAACTCGCTGAATGTGAAATGTCCGGCGATTTTTAACCCTTAAACGATAATGCTTATTATTCGCCTATTCCAATGGTAAAGATCTTTTCTAAGTATAATTGTCTCTAAGAAACGGCTGATACTCAGCATCGGTGAAAGCAGTAATAAGATAATACAAACAAATATACACATCTTGTGTTTACATCTATATCACAATATATGAAGAAAAATAAAATTTGTCTTGAGTCACATTATCAATGTACTATAATACGGCCTCTCTTCCGAAAGGGCGAATATAACATTGTGTGGTTGTAAATAATGTCGTACTTTTAGGAGAAGTTATAATTTTTAACTGAAAATAACTTTTTAATCCGTATCGACGTTTATGAACAATGTCTCATGCTTCGATCATCCGAAATTAATTCAATAAGTTATTACATTATTGCAAAAAAAAGAATAGGCTAGTGGGATGTGTTGATATCACAAACGTTTTGAAATGTTCCCCGAACGCCGTATTTTCCATAAAAGTATTGTTAGAAAATAGATCAATTTATGCTATTAACATTATTTATAGCAAAATCGAAAGTGTAAAACCAATTTTGTTGTTTTAGAAAAATTTTGGGAAATCTCAAAATTTTATCTTTTGAAACGACGAGTATTGCATGCGTGGTTCAACAATTGTTTTATCTATAAAATACCATTACCATCTATTTTGAAAATAGGCAATTATGATCTCTCTCATTCTTTATATAATTATAAACTACATTCACTGTATTAATCACATTTTATAAAAAGTAATATTTTGCTGTCTTTTATTTTGATTGCGATATCTGTGAAATTACATAAAATATATTAAATTCCTCATATTATATATTTTTAATACAGGAATGTATATATAAGAGACACTACTACACTAGCACGAATATAAAAATAAACTACAATTTACAACGTAATTAAAATAATGACTATGGTCCGTATTCTGAGCTCTCTTTTATCGATAAAAGAGCCTTTAAAGTAGCTTAGGAACTAGCTGATTGGCTGAGAAGCCACGTTTAAGGCATTTTTATCGATAATAGAGAATTCAGAATGCGGACCTATGTTCAAGTCGACAAATGTAGCTTAAAAAGCATTTGAAAAAAATAAAGGGAATTTTCTATTTTCCTTGAGTGACTTCTTTTAGTCATATATTTGTGAGGTGTCATTCGTGTAATTTAAAATCTACCTAAGGGGTTTCCGTTTCCTTGCCATGGCCATTTTGATTAATGACGTCGAGGCGAGAAAAGGCACGTTGAAAATTTTTGCAATATATATTGAAATAAAAAGATGCGTTTACAAAATGCCGCAATTGATCAAGCAGATCTGTAATCTTGAAAAGTTTTCGTTCTAACGATCAATAAACAACCATAAAATTAATACAATAGAATCATGAAGAAAGGTTAAAAAGGAAGATTGCGTATCGTGTGAATTTTACAACTATTTATTGGTTGTCAGAGCAAACGAAAAGGTTTGGGATTGTTGTATAGATCTGCTTGAGGTAGAAAGAGAGATCAATTTCAAGTGTCATTTTGCAAACATATCTTTTTATTTCAATGTACTTTGCAAGAGTTCTGAAGCATTTTCTTGCATCTTTTCTCGACGTTATTAATCGAAATGGTTGCGGCGGTGAAACAGGAGGACAGTCACAGCGACTATTCCGGAGTTTTGAAAGAAATTTAATCTGTAACTTTCAAATTATAACTGCCCAAAAGCGTCTAAGAATACAATAAATATTATTACATTTATGAGAACACGAAGAAGCCACATAATACTCGTATTTCCCGAATTCATAAATGTATTAATATTCGCAACTATAATTTTTTGGCTTGTCTTAACGTGTTTCCAAATTCCGTTCGACAAGCGATATTCGGAAGTATCGGAAACGCGGTACATTGCGTGTTTTCATCTAAAAGCGACAATACCTTCCTCCTCGAAATTCTTACGGTTGGTGTTTCCCGTTACGGAAACGATCGTAATACCGTGGCCCTTCGCGTCACAGTTCTCGCTGTACGTCAACGACTCTTCGACATCGTGCTCTCCCACGGGAGCATCTTCGAGATAATCGTCGTGGTAATCGTCTTGATAGTCGTCTTGCTTCTCTATCTTGATACCGTTCTGAAATATCTCGACATTATCGCCGTAAGCGTCGAACGTATCCTCGCACTTGATTCTCTTCGCCCCGACTTCATCGGGGCCGCCGATCGCGCGACACTCCGTTTCGTCCGCGCAATACTCGTTCGAACATTCGGCATCGAATTCTACTTTAATACGCAGACCCGACGACCCGTTCGACTCGCCGTCCGTGGGACTCTTCAGCGAAGCGGGCGACTCGCAGGCGTAGTCGTTGCCCTGAGACTCCTGGGGCTCGCGTTCCTCACTGCTCGGATGCCTCTTCGTGCCGTGCCTGTCGCCGGTCGGCGCCCTCGTCGACGAAACTTTGGGAGGATGCTTCTGGCTCACGTGCTTGGCCACGTGCTTCTTGAAGTACCAGTCGGTGCTGAAGTGCTTGCAGCAGTAGACGCAGAAGAACCGCTTGTTCGGCTTCTTTACGAACACACTCTTCTGCTGAAAGATGCGCTGCTTCTGCAGGAGAGCCGGTGGTGTCTTGGAAGCGTCCACTATCGGCACCAACAAACGACCGGCCCTCGGAATTTGTTCCGCCTGAGCGGTGATGTTGGCGGCTATGATGGGCTGAAGGGCCGATAAACTCGGCACGGTCAGCGTAGTGATAACATTGCCCGCGACGACGCAGAACTTGGGGACGCCCTGTTGTCGGTGCAGCAGGGAGGGCGCCGTCTTCAGGTTGGTTATGGGTATCACGCGTATCGGCTCCAGCACAGTCTTAGTGCTCTGAGCCAACGAGTTCGTCGGGACGTGAGGCTGCGGCACGATCAAATTGCCAGGTGCCGTTGACGCGGCCGGTTGATCGTTGACCACGGACAGGTTGACGAATTTAACGTACTGATTCTGCGGTGGCATCGCCACCGCTTGAGTGTGAGCCGGGTTCACGATGTACGTGGTACCCTGTGCCGCTGGACGCGTCCCCTTGAGATACGCGCGATTGGAGAACAGCGCGACATCGCTGGGAGGCGGGATCGTGATCGTCACGCCGCTAACGACGTTCTTCTGACCACTTATTTGCGAATTGACGGGCGGAACCAACTGACCGTTAGGTACCGTAGTCACCGTGACGATCGGCTCCCGACTCGGTTTCGGCAGGATCACCAGCTCCTTGTTATTCCGTAAGGCTTCCATCGCCAGAACGGCCCCGTCCACCGGGTCCAGATAATTCTTCCTCCTCGCCCTCAAATCGTGCAGTATCCGCAGCTCCTGCAAGCGAAACCTGTCCTTTAATAAACGCTCTTTGCTCACATCGTTGTGTCTGTACTCGTCCTTCTTCTCGCACTTCTTATGATAGAGCCGCGACTTCCAGCTGGTCATAGGCACCATGCAAATGTCACATATGTCGGACTCGTCGCACTTGTACAACTTGACCAACCCCCTGCGACAACGGTCGTGGTCGATACTCAGCGCGTCGCAATACTCGTCGTCGCAGTGTTTGCCGACCAGCGCGTCTATCTCCTCCTCGTTGATGTTCAGCGCCAACATCAGCGACACTTTACCTTCCTCCACGTGCTGTTGCACTATCACATCACAGATGATGGTCTCGCACGGTCCAGCGCATCTGCATGATTTTGGCTTAACAGGGATCAAGATGATTTCCGACAACTTGTCCTTCCTCTTGGAGGGCAACAGATTGCCGTCCTCTTCGTCCGATGTATCCACAACCGCTTCCGATTGTTTTGAGCTAAGTCTGACGAAATTTCTTTTCAAGATATTCGCACGCTTATAGTCTCTGAGTACTTCCCTAGGATCTTCGACCGTCGGTACGGGGACTGCCTTAATATCAATGTTAGGCTGACGCAGAAGACGCATAATAGCGCATGGCTGTACCCACTGTAAACAATAGGCCGCATTAATTGACCAGTATCCTCGGAAACTGTCAAACTTGTCAAGACTAGCCTGTCAAGACTAGCTTAGCTTAAGCCTGTTCTTTTTCGAAGAAATGTTTGTTTCGCTCTAACTTACCGCACCAGTTCAGGAAGTTTTTCGGAAAAGAACAAACCTCTCGTCAAGACCAGAGATCAGATGTTTTTTTTTTGTTAAAAGGAATATCTTTCGAAATGGTGCTCAAAAAGGCGCACCCTCTCTTCTTTTTCCCCTTAACACTACGCCTCCGACACATGTGGCACAATTTACCTTAGACACAGCGGGTTTTGGTACAATATCTGGACATATATTGGCCGTCTTTATGGGTATGAGTTTGGGTAACGACGGATAGTCCATCTTCACCATGTCAAGTCGCAAATAATCCGACGTCCGTGGTTTCACTGCAACGAGAACGAAAATAAATGAGTGAAACGGGAACCTCGGCCGGAGAGATGCCAACGGCGCGCATTTTCGCGCGTAAATTCTCAACCGGCGATCCGAAACAATAACTTAGCCTTACTTGTTTACTTAGCTAATTACGATCGCGTCACATAATGAGACACACACACACAAACACGCACAATACGTCGTCCTGCGCTTCATTGATTCGCGGCAGGAAATAACTTGTAGGTTAGCCGAATGTGGGCGAAACGACCGTCGAAGAAGCCCTCGGCTTCGTCGGAACGCTTTCGTACGTGCTCACATCGATACCGCGCCGATACTCACAACGATACTTACCAGATCGGCTCTTTGTGGTTCACCCGACACTGTCACTTTTTGCATTTCTCGCAGAAACGCTGCGACTCGTTTTTTTTTTTACACTTTCCCTCCTTTCTTCCGTCGAAGGTCGATTTCTTCCTTCGAACAGGCGCGAACGTAAAAGTACGGCCTATCGGTCGCACATACGCGCGAGTCGAACGTGTACTTCCCCGCGTCCGACGCGTTTCGTTCGCACGCACGTGGTCGCTTCGGGCTCTGTCAACACCTGACCCGACGATCGGCCGAACGTGACTGCGAAGACGCCGCGGGGGAAACGCTCGAGCTGATCGCGAAAACTGCTCCGGACGGCGGCCATCGATGGAACCGCAGCCAACGCGCTTTTCTTCCGCGCATGTGCGCGCCGACCTCATTCGGATCGCGCCTTCGACACTCTCATTTTTCTCTCTTTGCCTTTTCGCGCTTTTCCTTCCCCTCGGCGCGGCCGCTCTATTTCGTCCACGTGTCTCTCAACTCTCTTCTTACCGCTCGACTCCTCGTTCCCGTTCCGGAAAGCTCGGGCTTCGAAATAATCCCGATTTTCCATCGTCGACCTCTCTCGCCTAGCGCGAATACACTAGAGGTCTGTTCGTTTTCACTGCACCACTGAGCTAGTAAGTTGAAGCGAGACAAGTATATGTTTTCTCAGTTCAACTTATTGCACTAGCGGTGCAGCGGAAACGAACAGATCTCTTGATGAGGCGCGCGTCGAGGTGAGAGAAGAAAAAATGTGGGGTATGTGAAAAATAGATGAAAAATATATTCAAACATATAAAGGAGGAAATTCTACTCGCGGTGCGTGCCACGGATACGCGACGAGAAACAGCTTTTTTACAGCTTTAAGGGGGAGAAACCGGGGATGCGTGTTCCTACTCATCGATCCCCGGGACAAATCTTATGACATCATAAATTAGGTCAACTACTGACGTCATTAATGCGTCACCGTACGTTTACTGAGTCTCTTTTATACACGATACAGTATAAGCTTCTCCTGTAAATGATATATTTATTTCAGTTCAGAACATGGGTCAGTTTGTCTGAAAAATTATAAGAATTAACTTTTCCTAATTTTTTCCACTAGCCATGTATCAGAAGCGTTTTCAAGCTGCACGCCTACCTTGCAAGGTACCTGTATTTTATTATCAGAACCATCAAATTATTTAGCGAACGAACGCTCTCGCACGCATAATTTCGTTAAGAATAAAAATATGACTTTGAGGAGCTAATTTTTAATTTCAACGACTTATTCGTTCACGATTCTCCGATCTAAATCGAGGTGATCGAAAGACGCGACCTGTTCTAAATCGAGTCATCGATGATTTGAAATTAGCTATTCGAGCTATTGGAGAAAGCTCGAGTTCGAAAACGAATTCGAATCGATTGGTTCGATTCGAACAATTCCTCCTCCTCGACTGCGTCTTAACAACGCGGACAAACGCATGACGGCAGGATGATGTTTTATAATTGGAATAAAGACTTTATTGTAACATCGTTATGGTTTTAGGTAATGTACACATTATCGTAAACCGACGGCTATGTAATTATTGTAGTACTTATCTCAGCAGTGTGTGTCATAGGTAGGATGCTACTTATCTTTGGTACCGCGAATGTATAATATAACGCATATGCAGCGCGCGCGCACGCGCTACGTGGTTTCTTTCTTCTCTCTGCCTCCCTTCTTTTTAATACCTACTAGACGGCGTAAGACAAAGCGTTGTAACTCAATCGTACGATGCATCGTAATAGGCTGCACACATATACCGCCCGTGCGCGATAACGATCGTTGTATGCCAAATTGCCTCGTTTGCCAATTAGTCGTTCGGATATATCTTCCACAATGCGATACAATATTTACGGTAAAGTAGTGGGCGGACACGACCGCTCGTTGCACTTTAGTGGTGTTTAACATTCTTTTTTTCTCTCTTCTTTTCTTTGTATTTTTTTCCTTTTTTTTCTTTTTAAAGAGTCGTGCTCTTGCGAGTATATTACTTATTCACGTTAATAAACGGCGAGCAGGCGTCGGTGAAGCAAGCCGCCACCGCCACCTCCTACTCGAACAGCGTACGCTAAACGAGTGTCTGATTGTCCTCGTGATGAAGCAAACACATACGACGTCACGTCACGTACGGAGAAACAAGCGGCAAAGGCAACGCGCGATACGCACACATACATACATACAGAACGCACGCACGCAGACAGACACATAGCCACGCACACGCGCGAATAAACAGTCAAAAAGCTTTATTGAACCTCGATTGAATTTCGCAATAGTAGGACGATCTCCGCCTGAAGGCTCGCGCGTAGGAACTGTCAGCTGACGAACGCTGACGAATCCGCTGGCGAATTCGCCGCGGGATTCGCGTGTTCACGAGAGACACGCGCGCTGCGTGAGGGAGAACGGCTGCCTTCTTTTCGTAAAAAATAAATGCACGAACACAGAGCCGACTCTTCTGTTCAATCAAAGCTTTTCTCACGCGAATTCTTCGCGCGAGCGAGCGAGTGGGCGACTGCAAGCGCGTGCCCGAGAACAATGTGGGTTTGTTTTCTGTTCCTGGCTGCACTGGTTCGAGAAGTGTACACTGAAGCGTTTTCCATCCCGGAACCGACGTCAGCGACGCTGTTTTCTACTCCAGCATCGGCGAAATTCGATGCAAGAGTTCGCTGAACTGGCCAGGTTCTGTTCTTTTTCGAAGAACTTCCCGGACCGGTGTACATCGATGAGCAACAAGTGAGAGTGAAACCAGCTGTAACTAGTTTCATTCCGACTTGACCGCACTAGTTCGGGAAGTTCTTTGAGAAGGAACAGACACCCGATGCGAGCGAGGGCGGTTGGAGCAGCACTTTCGAATGAGAAAAGAAGCAAGGAACATCGAGAAGCTTGTGGGTCTCGTTATGTTATTGAATCATTGCACTTTCACGCCAATGTTCACGACCCAGGTAGCGCAGTTAGTTTCATATTACGTTTTCTAAACGTATATAATACGATTACGAAACGTTACATGCGTTTAGTTTAAATGTGAAACTGTGCTACCTGGGGACACGTGTGGACGTGCGAAGCGATACACTCGAGCGAGACTCAAAGTCACGTTTTGCGTTTACATTTTGGAAGTTTACACTTCTAGATGTTTATTATAAAGCTAATCGAAAGAAAGATAAAATAGTAAATAGTAAATATAAAAATAGAAACTTTCCTAGACGCTGAAAAGACTTTACAATATTTACATTTTAATATGTAGCATTCAATATTTAGATGTACAAGTTAGAGCTGCCGTCCGTTGAAGATAATAAACCAGTCGAAAGTAATAACTGCCAGTTACCGTTGAAAATCATAATAATAATAAATAAAAAAAAATAGTATTTAATTCTACAGTTATAACGTTGCGCACCATTTTATTTTTTTTCCTTCGACGCGTTTTTTACACCTTGGCTCACACTAGTTTTGGCTTACACTTCGGTTCCAGTGCAGTCTCGGTGCAGGATTAGATTACAGACCCGATGAATCCGACGCCTGACAAGTATCGGAATTGTTTCTCGCGCTCGCACAATGCGTTATGACCCTCGCACGCTCCTCGGTGAACGTCTCACCTATCCGCTCGCGAAATCTTTGAGCGCCAAAGCTATGCACGGATGGCGACGTCGAACGATGAAGCCGACGCTTGGTGATTTGGTTCTCTTTTCCGCCCCGAGGATCGCACGAGGGTCAAGAGGGGGGACAACTTACAGCTTAACTTATCCAGCGCGAAGGTACGTTGTACAAAACTTGTTACTTAGCCCTATAGCGTATTTTTTTATGAACAACATATTTACACGGATCAGTCAAATAAATATTGTTTTTAGTCTTTGCATCTCTAGCGCGGCCCTATAGACGAAGAAGCAGGCGACTTCGTTTTTTTTTCTTCTTTCTTTCTCTCTTTTATCAATATTCAACACGCACAGGAGGACGACGAGAAAAAAGTAAAGGCGATGCGTGTGTGTGTGTGTGTGTGTGTGTTTGTAATGCTGCGCTGCGCGACCGAGGCGAAATACATCTTGGCTTGAACCGGAAACCTTCTTCTCTTCTTAACCTTAAGATTCATTTGAAAGAATATCACCTTTAACTTGGGTTTCGCGGTGTTACGTCACTAGCGTTTTCTCTTTCTCTCTCTTTTTTTTTTTCTTTTACACGTGCTAACATCTAGACTCTTCTAACTAATGGCATTTCGAATTTTTTGACTCCCGCGGAATCTCGAAGGTACACGATTTGTGATCTGAATTTTATATCATTAATCTTTGGAGAAGGGGGACACGTTCCGGCGTTAACGTAGAAATGAACCGTCCATCGGCCACGAGCGCGACGACGTCCGGCGACGAAATTGGGTCGTCGCGAGAATCCGACGAGGCTCGTTCGGCCTAAACGGCTTCCTTTGAACTTAACAACTTCCCGAGACTTCCCACATATAATCTGTTTATGTAATCACGGTATAAAATAATTTGGTCGCATCTATAGCCCGCTAGTCGTAACAATGTGGCGGCGTATATAGTGTTATTCTTCTTTTTTTTTTCTTTTCTGTGCACAATATCTCTTTATACACGTACATATCACAGAGGTCAATAATTTCGTACACGCCCTTTCGGTTTTAAGCGAAGGTCTCGAAAATAATGTCACTTACCTCACAATATCGCTTATAAAACGCTTAAGATAAATATTACGGTAATTATTGGCTTACACGTTTACGTTCGAACGTCGGCAATGGATGTGTTTCTACAAAAAATATGAGAATTTTCCAGTGGATATACTATTTACACAATTTTCATTCCTCTTCAATGCCGTGTCTCCTATGTGTGCCGCGACGGCCATTATTATTACGCGCCTATGTACTCTAATATCCTGACAAGAAATATATAATATCCGCTCGTAAAATTTGCCTTCTATGGATCTTAGAGGGGAAAGAAAGAGTCAATCCTTGTACTATCTTTCAGTTTCTGCGTTCTTTTCCTTTAGGATCCTCAAGGTAGTTGGCCCATGGCAATATATATTGAAGAGACAATGCTCGATATACAACACGAAGAAGAATTCGACAAATCTGTGCTAAGATATCAATTTCGCCAAAACTGGGCAGTCATCGATGTTGCGATTTTTCTATAATATTTCTACGAGTCTTTTATCGTTTTCTCGTTTTCCATCAAGAGGTGTGAATTAATGAGTTATCTGACTTTGAAATATTCGAAAAATTTCTTTACTTAAAAAAATTGTTAAAGTTTGAAAATAAAATTCAAAAGATCCTAAATTCGAAATATCCTTCGAATTGTAGCGTTTGAAACGAATTTCGTAGGTAGGTACACGGGTATGTACCTATGTGCAGGTAAACGTCCGAATAGGCGGCGTTCTATATAATTACCCTCTTCAGTTTTCGCATTCTTTCGACACAATAGGTAATAACAGACGGGTTTCCCCCTCCGTTGTAACCGTCACTTTCGAAAGTCTGACCGTTATTCAATTTTCTAACTGACCAACCGTCTGCTACGCACTGTCGGAAGAAATCAAGATTCTACCGGAGAGACACGAAAGAAGCAATCTGGGCTATTTTACAACATAAATTTTCCATTGGCAAAAATTCGCGCAGCACGATAACTGTCCGTCTGGTGAGAACATTTGTGTCAATATCGTAGCTACCAAATTTTTCGTAACTTTTATATAATCTTCATATTTGCGTAGCATTAAATATACCGAAGGATTATTTCCCCTTTTTTAGCGATTCTTGATATTTCGAGAAAATTCGATACATGATGTTTACTATAACAAGATATGAACTCAGCATGTACATCAGTATTGTAATAACAAAATAGTGATCGACACTCCACAGCATTCATGTTTAGCCGAAGAGCAAATATTTGATGAAAGACAACCGGTATTTCCATCGACATGCCGTTGAAAAAAATTCGAAATGGTTCCCGAGGAAAACGCGGTTTCACGGGCCGACTACCTCAAGAGTAACAAGAGTCACAGAGACACCGTCCTCGCGCAACCGCGTTTTTATACTCGCGCGAGGCCGCTGAGGACCGCCGCTGAGTGCGAACGCGTTCACCCGTTTCTACAGCAGCTTCTTCGCATTCTCCTAAACGAGAATGAAATGACGGACTAGAATGTTTCAAGTATAGAGATTTCCTTCGCTTCCTCTCTCTGCCGCGGGAGATTAACGCCGCCGCTCACTTCGTCACTCGCGCCGTCGTCACCGGCTTCTTAGTCGCGCTCGGAATAGTCCTCGCGATGCCGGCATTCTTGTTAGCCTCGAACTTTTGCTGCAACGACGCCACGTTGGATTTCCCGCTCGCCGCCCGCTGCACCGGATTCATCCTCGCGCCGTCCGCGCTCTTGGCCTCCGTTTTCACCACCTTCGACGACGTCAGCTTGCCGACGATCGCCTCCTTGGCGGCCGACTTGGCGGTGATGCTCGCCGCATTGCCGGTCGGCGACTTTTTCCTCTCTGACAGGCCGGTCTTTGACGCGACGCTCGAGGGCTTCAGCGGCGTCGTGGGCGTCTTGACGCCCTTCGGCAGCGTCGGCGCTTTCTGAACGGTCTTCAGCGAGAGACTGAACTTGGGATTGCTGCCCACGACGTCCGGCGACTTGGTGCCGCACTGGTTCGAGCAGCTTGAGACCAGGTCCGGGCTATTGAACTTGCTCAGACTATCCTTAGGGCTACAAGGCACATTTTTGACAGATACGCTATTGATGGTCGCGCGCGGGTCGTCCTTATCTAAGTCGCTATTCGATTTGCTCAGCTGCGTCTGCCGACTCGCGTCCGTCGTCGTCGACTTCGAGGATCTCGAGGACGACAGGCCGCCGCAGTTGTTGTTGTCGCCTGGATGCTGCTTGCTCGACTTCAACGTATTATCTGAACTTTGTCTGGCGAGCTTCGACTCGACGGGCGTCTCCTTCGCGATGTTCGGCGGAGTCTTAGTCCTGTTGAACGCCGGGACTTTGCTCTCGGCTTGGTCGTCCTTTTTGATATGTATCGAATGAGCCGGCCGGCTCTTCGTCGGAGCGAACGGCTTGTACCCCGCCGGACTCTCGGGCGGCTTCATGCCGAGCTCCTTGGACAACTCGTCGTTCACATTCGGATTGTTGGAGCTGAGGAGCGCGTTCAGCTTGCTCTTATCGGCCGGCTGGTCGTCTTTGCCCGTTTGCTTCCTGTGCACCTGCGGCACATTGATCGCGGACGGATGAAGGTAGCCGGAGCTGGTGGTGGAGCTCGACGAGTTAAACTTACCGGAGGCCGAGTTCGAGTAGACGCTACCGGGCGTCTTGTAGTGGCCGGAGTTCATGTAGCCGCCCAACGAACTGTCGGAGCCCATATTGTCCGTCTTCGACGGCCCCTCCTCCTCCTCCTTCTTCTTCTTCCTGGCTAACGTCGAGGTGGAGTATATGGAGTCGAAGTTGCGGTTCGAGATCTCCGACACGATCTCCGAGAGCAGACCCATCGAGCCGAGGGCGGCGCCGGGCGTCGGGTCCACGCGCTTTGGCAGTTTGTACTCGTTGCCGGCCGGCGCGTTCTTCCGGTTCTTCTCCGGCACCGGTTCCTCTATCACCGCGTAGATATTGTCGTTCGTCGGCGACTCCTCCGTGATCCTCGTCAGGGACGACTCCGCGATCAGGTTCATGCAGTCGTCGTAGGTGTTCTCCGGCGGCTTCACCAGCGGATTCTGGTAGCCGGGCAGCCCCGGGATCTTGATCGCGCTCTCGATGGCCTTGTCGGCGGGCGGGCCCGGGGGCGGCGAGGTGGGCCTCACGCTGCTCGGGATGCTGCTGGGCCTCTTGACCGGCGTCGCTTGGCGCATCGAGCCGAACGTGTGGATGGCCGGCCGCGGTGTGATCTTGCTGTCCCTCATGGATTGGGCGCGCAGCACGACGTTCCGCTTCTCGGCCGCGGGTATCATCACGGGGATGACCGGCGTCGCGATCTCGATCTCCGTCTGCGGTATGGGATGCGAGATCTCCAGGTTCCTCAGGATCTCCTTGTCGAGCACCTTGCTCGCCTTGTGGTGCTGGCCCCTCGGCAACGTGCTGCTCTTGCCGTCGTCCTGCCGCTGGGAGTTGCCGCTCTTCATTATCCCGGAGCTCGGCCGCAGTATGGACGCGATCCTGTTGAGCGTGCCGCCCTTCTCCGGCTTCCTCTCGCCGGGCTCACTCGTCGTGGCCGCGATCACGTTCGTCAGCGGCGTGCTGTTGGGCCTCTGCGGCTTCACGGAAGCCGGTCGCGTCGGCACCTCCGGGGCCGGCCGGGTGGGCACTTTCAGCTCGACGGACGTGCAGGTGGTGGCCGCCAGCACCGGGCTGCTGATCAACGGCCGCGCGGTCGAGCCCGGGTTCAGCGGCGGCAACGTCGGCGCGACCGGCGAGCTCTCGGCGAAGCTCGCGCCGAGAAGATTGGCGCGCGGCGCGCTGCACTTCTGCACGGGTTTCGTCTTGATCGCGACGGTCGGTATCGTAGGCGGCGCCGGGGCCGGTTTCGTCGGCTCCGCGAGCTTCGACTGATTCGGGATCGGCGTGATCGTGAAGCCCTTGAACTGCCCGAACAGATTGTTGTTGTAGCGCTCGTCGGCCTCTGCCTTCGGCAGCAGGCTCGCGCACGCCGGGTCCTGACTCAGGCTCGAGTCGATCGTCTCGATGTTACGGGACATGGGACTGGAACGATCGATCGTTTTGATTAGCAACCCGTTGTGGCCGCGGTCGCTCCTGAAAAGTTGAAGCAGAATTATAAGCGGAGGAACTGAGGTGGGCTGTAAGCGCTGTTATGTCGCGTGTAGGAGTCCTGCCTATCGAGCGTACACGTTGCTCTCCGCCTGCTTCTTTCGAGATTGATCGGAACGGAGAACGCCTGTTATATGGGGTGTCGTCCCATTCCTCGTATACTTGTAGTTTGGCGTGAACGAACGATTTCCTACCGCTTTGCAAACAACCAATTTGCAAGACGGTGTTTTTTCTTCACATTGATCTAAATTACAAGTATATGATGGATGGGACACTCAGCGACAGACACCCTGTGTGTGTGTGTGTGCATTTCTTCCTCTTGTGTGCGGACCTCGATAATAAAGACACATCCGTGAAATTATGTTGGAATGATGTACTACAGTGATTGATACAAACTTAAGCTTCTCGACTGCGTACTGTAATTCGATAGTATATGTGATACACTCTGAATAACACATGCACACCCGTGTTCAAGGAATGAATTACCGGCCGCAAAAGAAATCGTGTGTGCAGATACTTTTCTCAAAAGTAGCCGTTCACCGTAAAAAGTCCAAACGCATGCAAAGGCAAGACACAATCGCGCAGGGGGAGATGTTAGTTACAGATTAAAGTATTAGTAGCAAGCACTGGAGAAGAAGGAAATCGTTGATTGTAAAAGAAGACTCCAAGACACTTCGTGTCAGTGTACTGCATATTTATTCAGTAATAAAATCGTACATTTTCGTTTGTCTAAGTATGAGTAACATTATCGGATATATCTGATCTTTATATCCTGCTCTTCGTTCCCATATATTCATATAGAAACGAGCAATGAATTAAACCGAGTACTTTATTGATAAAAATTAAGTACTTCTTTTAGGCTGATTATTAATATAATATTAAGTAATAGTTAAAACTGACCTTTTTAACGCGCCGTTTTTTTTTTAACGACTGTATTGTCGGTTTTCGTAAAATGCAAAAGCTAGTAAGAAAAGAATCTTCAAACATGCTTCATGCCCACGTAAATACAATCTTCTGCGCATGCTCTATTACGTTACTAACAATCTCCTGCCAACACAATCTCCGCCTTTATATAGCGCAATATGTATATTTTCGTTTGAAAAAATATCAAATTTACAATTTTCGTATGTATGAAAGTTTCATTGGCCCTCGAAGTGAACAGTTTTGTTCTACAAGGTTTAATTAGTTTTCTTTTTTGTTTTAACGTTAATTTCGACGTGTATAATAACTCTATTAAGGGGGAAATCGCTATTAACGAGTTAATAGTTCGATAATATTGTGAAAAGAGAAAGAGGAAACAAAGCGTATAAATATTCGGGTTATGTGATATTTTTGTGACGAGCGTATGCGCATTAATATATTGCAATAAATATTAATATCGCGTCAATGTAAATCGCGCTTATTTGTATAACTTCCAGTTTATGCTAATGTAATATATAATTAGTAAAATGCAGTCCTAAATTAGATAGTGTAAGTTTCATTTTCTGTGTACTTAGTAAGAGCGTGCCGACGAGAACAAAATACTGTTCACTGAATTTTGTGTGTTCTAAAATTTTCGAAACTTACGTAAAAGAAAAACCAATCAATGCATATTGCACCAAGGGAACTTATGCATCACGTTTAATTGTAAGTACACTAGTAAAAATTTTTAATGTGTATATTGAGTAAAAAATTAATACACACGAAATCGTCTCCCGTAACACTTATTACATAAGAGAATCCATTTCCAACAGATCCGACAGATCACACGATAGACGATATACGTGATATTCATATTTAAGAAAGAAAGGTTTCATTTGCATCCTTAATTATTATAATCTCATTTCTGATACACCTAATCCATGTAAAAATATCATAATTTTGGCTAACGATACGTCGGAGCATATTATTACGACTATCATCAGTTGGAATCACAGTAGGAATTACTTTATCGCATTTTGGCATCAGTAATGTCCAAATATCATTTCTATATACCGCCACCATTTGCAAGTCCCCGTATATTATAATGCAAAAATCATAGCTTGTCGCAAAGAGCGCTACGATGTTTGCACTATGTTGAGTAAAATCGCCCTTAAATATATGTATATATATATATATATTTCATATTCATGTATACTTAATTAAGCGAAATATCTCTTTCGTGATCAAATAATATCAATTACACCGATACTAATAAGAACTGCCGTGCTTGCTTCGACTTTTGCAAATGCATCGGAAAAATATGCTTTCAATGGAGCATCGTATCCAACGTCTGAAAATATTCGTGAAATCATTTCTATCTCTGCGGAGAAAGAAAGAGAGAGAGATTCTCGAAAACGAAGATTCGACTCCTGGTGGATATCGCACTGCGTGAAAATTAACATTAATAAGTATCTATAAGAATATACAAAATGTGTTTACGTGACGCGTTCGCGCGTGAGGCGAGATTCCTGATTTGCGGAACAAAAAATCGTTCAGATCTTTGGCTTTAAGCTTTGAGCAGGTGCCGGTGGGGGTGGTGGCTTTTTATTGTAAAACGGAGCTAGCGTTTTCGTACTCGCGTTTTCGTTACTGAGCAATACCTCCGACGACTTTGGGGTGATATTGGACGGGCTCTCGTTCAAGTGCTCGAACTTGAGCTCCGTGTTGAGCACCAGCCCTTTGACATTCTTAGGCGACTTTTTCTGTAGCTGTTGGATACGCTCCGATATTATGGAGCCCAGCTCCGAGTTGAACGGAGGGGACCTCCTCGACTGGACCTCAACAACGTCGGGCACTGAAAGAGTCGCCGCCATGTCCTGCGTTTGGGACTGCGCTTGGGGTTTCGCGCTAACCTCCTGGGGATTCGCGCCGAACAACAAGGACTTTCTGTACTCGATGTTATTGCTACACTTGATAGCGTCCGGATTGGTGGTGGATATCAAACCGGTCTTGGTTATCTGCAGCGACTCTTTGAGCGCGACATGATCACTGATCATAAACACTCTGCTCCCCTCACGAGAGTTATCCTTCTGCCCCGGCACGAGATAGGCGGATAACACTCGTAGGAATTTGTTACCGGCGATGTAGCGTGTCTTTGACGAGGGAACACCGAGTGGCTTACTAACATGCGGTTTGCGTTTCTCTGTAAAACGATCGAGGCTGAATACGTACGTAGACATCACACCCTTCTTCCAGTGCTGCTTAGAGTTCCTGACGTACCAAAATCCAAGCAGCAGCAGCGCCGTGACGGGCACCACTCCGAGGAATATTACGTAGAGCGCGGTGATGAACTCGTTTCTCGCTGTAAGCATACCAAATGCACGTCACGTTGCACGTTCGGCGCCGTTCGACAAATTACGGATCTCACATGTAATAAATATAAACAATAATATAATTTCAGTGCTTTAATTTTTTCCGTAATTCCCTATAGGCATCACGGGTATGTCGGTTTTGGGAGCTAGTTTCTAGAAACTCCGAACATCTTGAAAAATAATTATTTGCAAGGAAAAATGTAATCATTCTCATAAGACTATCGCATATTTTGATAGGGAAGAATTCCCGGCTTGCGTCAATGCGCGTGAATGAAAATTGTACACCTTCAACATGGCTTTAGAGCCCGAAAGCAAAATGGTGTGTCGATTTTTCGCTGCTTTTCCTTTAAACATTATCAGATTGAATGTTGCACGAAATACTCACCGTTAGGATCCTCGACTGGACCGCTATCTTCGGAGCCTCCTACTCCGGGCTGAAGGCAGTCGGGTGGCCGGAAGCCACGGTTACAGTGGCAGTGACCGAGACTATTACACACTCCGTTACCATTACAATTGTTCGGGCAGGGTTTGCCGTCAGACACGGACGCTCTCAAGTCCGCTATCGACATGCACTTCTGATTCACACACATCTAGACAATACGAAGAGACTGCAATTACCCAACACAGTTGTGCTAATGGAGTGCGCGTATCGTGTTTCGCAAGTACGAATATCGCGAACTGTTACAAAGTTATCTCTCCCGCCGTTGCATTGTATGCGCCGGCGGGCTGGGAAGACAAGAAACTCGGTCGGTCGGTGTTACCTGAGGCACTTTACCTTTCCAGGTGCGCACTTGGCGCCGTCCGGTGTCAGTCCAGGATCGACTTGGCTGAGCCCGAGATCGACGATGGCCGATCGACACGGCTCTATCTTCCCACGGACGTTGATGAACGAGTGACTCAAAGTCGCGACAGACTCCATGCCGAACTCCAACCGTTCATTCAGGTGTTTGCAGTGGAGCATACCGCAGAAGCGATTTCTGCAAACGGAACGGAAACGTACTTTTCGTGCGAATGCCCAACTTCTCGCAGTCCGTCGGAAGTCCGTCAAAAAGTTCGGCCCCACTTTCTACTTCACTGAGATATACGATTTCTACGAATCTTGCTGGAACCTTGATGAAGGATCACAGGTCGGTATTCATCGTCAGATTTGGAAATGTTAGTAAAGTTTATTTCACTATTTCTTCTTTTAGATATAAAAGGAAATTAAACTTCGGCGAAAAGCAATTGTCGCTCCGAACCCACAATTGCGGTTTTAGTGTTAAATTCATCTTCTGAGATGATCTGATTGAATACCGGCTCGATTTGTTTTTTTCCCCCGCCGAATGATATCACGGTCGTCGAATTTCACTTGAGAAGAAATCGAAACGAACTTTTTGATTGACGCAAAACTTATCTCTCGTTCTACCTTTATTCATCAACTTACTGATCGTTACACTTGATGAAGCTCGAATCGATCTGATTGTAGCCGCAGTTGCCATTCTTAGTGCCCTTGTTGTTCATCTCATAACACTGCGCGTCGGAGGACGAGCCGCTGGGGCCCCACAGGAGTCTGCACTGGTCGTTATGGGTCCTGCACGAACCCTGGTAACAGAAGGCCTCTCCGTGGTTGCACGTCTCCCCGTCGATCTTGAACACGTCGGCCGGACAATACTCGCTCTGACCGGTGCAATACTCCGGCAGATCGCACTCGTGGTCGGCGCTCCTGCATTCCGTGCCGGCGTTCTTCGGTCTGCAGGTCTTCAGGTCGCAGCACTCGCCGGTGGCGCAGCTCGCGTTGCTGTGCAGCATGCAGGTGGTCACGTTGCAGCAGGGATTGTCGCAGTTCTCCTTCAGGCCGCAGTCGCACTGCTCGCCCGGCTCGACGAATCCGTTGCCGCATATCGGACTGTCGAACAGCTTCTGCGGCTTGTTCCTCAGACAATAGTCCATCCCATGTTCGAAGGCGAGGGTCAAGTGCTCCAATGAGCACGAGGACCAATGTATGGGCCCGGATGAGCCGCTCGAAGATGCCATTATACATCTGCAAGATGTAACGTTGTTGCTTTCACACGAAATAATAATAAACTTTATTGATCTCGAAAACAGAAAAGAGCAAAAGTGAAATACAGAGAATAATAAATAAAGGCCAAGGAAGGGGTACTAAGAAGCGGGACATCAGCAATGCAACCGTCCTACCTATGAAAGTTGTAACGATGAAATATTACAAAATACGAGAGGAAAAGAGACAAAGAGAAACGCATTAACGATCGGAAACAATGTTACCGGCAAAGGTATAATTCTCGGCGGCGGAACAAAATGCGGGGAGCGAAGAAGCAGAGCGGACAGGGAGGAAGACAAAAAGCGTTGGAATATATTTCACTGCGGTGAGAGAAAAAGCAGCAACAGAACCTCACGATGTCTAGGAAATGCCAACTGACATTAGCTCGTATTCTCCACTCTCTTCTATCGATAAAACTGTCTTAAATGTGGCTTCTCAGCCAATCAGATGTGGTTCCCCTAAGCCACCTTTATCGATAAAAAAGAGTTCAGAATACAGGCCGTTGAGTACGAATACCACCTAAAGTCAACATTGAGGTGGAAAAGAAAGTTCGTACAGGTATGACGACAGTGGTTCAGATTTGAGGAAACAGAGAGTCAGCATGCAACGCGCAAGCACGTTTCCTTCCCCGGACGCTTCCCAGCGCGAGGAAGGGCCTCGTAAGGGAATGGGAAATCCTCCATCGGGCGAAATTCTGAGGATTTACATTCCCCGTCGGGAAGGATGAAAGTGAGCGTCGCGAAACGAGCCGCAGGACGTACTTGTCTTCGGGACAGTCGCAACCCGCCCCGTCGTGCTCCATTCCGAAATTATGGCCCATCTCGTGAGCGACAGTGGCGGCGACCAGGCCGACGACGTTCGAGTGATCCATGGAGACGCCGCCGGAGAATTGGTACGTGCATATCGGTCCCTTGAGCGCCTTACCGACCACGCCGCCCTCGAAGGTGATTCGGCTGTTTGTTTGAAAAATAAATATTGAGGCTCCGGCTCGCTCTGGCATATGCCTTTCGCTCGCGCACACTCACGTCAGCAGCTGCGCATTGTCGTTCGGGATATCCTGGAGCAGCTTCTCCCTACGGTAGCGCAGGAAATTGGACAGAGTGGTGTCGCCGTTCGGCGACAGCGCTATCTCGTCCGACTCGGTCCACACCTGCACGCCGACCAGGGCGATGAATATGTTCAACGGCATGTACAACTGCAAACACACGGTAGATATGTCCGCGGGGCTAGTTTCGCATGGAGATCTCGCGACGAGGTCGGGTTCGCGCTAATTAATCTCCCTGTCTGCTCGGAGTTACGGAGAGAAAACGCGCTCGCGCAGGGACAGGGTGAGGGAGGGGCGGGACGGGGGTATGGTTTTTCCCGCGTTGTTGCATTGAGCGTATCAAACTGAGATTGATCGCGATCTCGCCTCACGTCGCTGTGTGAAAATGTCGAGCCTTGAGACGCATAATTAACTAGAATTACCTCAACGTTTACGAGAACTATCTTCGCGGGAGTGTTGTTTCAGCAGCAAAACTAGTGGTTTCTAGCGAAAAACGAAAAACCGCGAAAAAAAACGATATTATTATTATTATTATTATTTATTGGAGAAAACGATATGAGAAGAGATATGATATTATGGCTCTTATTAATACTTCGTACGATAATGTTAATAATCGATATTTTAAATTGGAAACTTAACGAAATTACATTCGTTATTACACACAACTGATATTTTATGCCGGAGAGAGACACACCGGGGCAAAATAATTTCCGGGGCTGTGTAAGTGATGTAAACGAGGAATCCTTATAAATGGATCATACGCGATTATTCTAATGAGATTAAAGTAGTCTCGCTGAAAGTTCACCCCTTTTCAAAGGTTCATACGCCGCCGATGCGGATTTTGCGCTTAAGAGTGCGCGGGTGAAGCAAAATTCCCGGAATCAGCGATGTAAGCGGAGATGTAATAACGGCCGAAGACGAGTTTACAGTGAATTTAGGGAAAGGAAACCGTGAATGTTCGAAGCGAGCGATTGGATAATGCGGTTGTTAAATTAGCGTAACCCGTTTTAAATCGTCCTCGTTTCGGCCGAAATTAAGAATCACAGCGATATATATATATATATATATTACTCACGGAATTGATAATATTGGCGATGTCCTTGCAGTGCTGATACACCTTGCTCAGGTTCTCATTCAGCGCTATATATTCTTTCTTGTCGATCACGAGCACCAGCTCCACATAACGCGACTGCCGATTCGCGTTGTAGGGTCCGCGAACAACCTCAGCCGCTCGTTTGTACTGTGAATAACGGGAGAACGTAGCGATATTAAAGATACATCGTTTCCGATCTCACCTGAAGGAGATTTTACGGCCTATCCTTCTTTTGATTTTAATCACGGATATTATAATAGCAATATGCATATACGGTTATTATATCACCGATATTATAATTAATACTTACTGGAAAAAATAGTTTTTCCGACTATAATTCTTTTACTATAGTGTATATAATTATGTTAATTGTGTTACAGTTACAAATATACACTAAATATATTTTTCTCTCGGTAAATGCATAAAAACAGAAAGGTTGCCCCGCAGGCAGGAGACTTTGCACACGGTAAACTGTTCTCAATTATCTCAACCGAGTTTTAACGCAGCCGAATGATCACACGAATGTTTTTTCGGTTGAGATAACAAAGGCAAGGTCGTTTCTCGTCACCGACCCCTTCTCGCCCGATTCCTGCTGTTCCGCAAACCAAGATTGTCTTTCCGTGTACGTGCCCAGGCATTGATACTTTTATCTTGTCCGGAAATATATAGGACCGTTGAATCAGATGAAATAAAGACAATTCAGAGTCACGGGAGTGTTTCTTGCCTCTAACGCTAACGCCAGTAGTTAGAACATTCCGTTTAAGTTCACGCTGAGCAAAAGACCGGCCTCTCGTCGTTTCGTCCAGTGTAGAAAGAATCTGTTTGCGATCCCTTCAACAAAGAGGATGAAAGAAGAGGGAAGAAGAGAGGAGGAGGAGGAGGCGGAGAGCGCGGGTAGACACGCGAGTCACCGGAGCGGACGCCAAAGACTACCCGCGACTACGTTCTTTGAAGTCGTATAATTTACCGGGAGGGAAGGGGATGAGGACGTATAGCGGACCTCGCGAAATATCTTCTATACGTACCCTGGAGAACCCTTTAATCTCACGACGATCACGAGCGGAGACTTGGTGCACCGGCTTTCCATCGTAACCTGCAACCGGGAGGAAAAACCGTCAAACAGGGATGACGATCGCCGCGGCCTGAGGAGAATTCCCGGTACGAGGGAGACAAAGAGCCGAGTCTCTCCTCTCGCGAGAGTCACCGCGAGTCTCGCGAGGCCTTGCTCTCTCACATTCGTTAAGACCGTTAAGGAGAGACCAGTCTTTCCGAGGCGGAGGTCTTTGAGCCCGATGGAGACGATGGAGCGCGCCTCAAAGAGAGGAGCAAGGGCACTGCCACCGCGGAAGACGAGAGACGCACCCGAGGTCGCCTTCGCGTCGTCGTCGCGCCGAAGGTTGCGCGTTTCTGAGTTAGGAAGAAAGAGCCAAAGCCCTCTCTCTCTCTCTTTCTCTCTCTCGTGAATATCCCAAAGAAACCCGGCGGAAATTGCTTCGCCGACTACCACCGACAGAAATTCTCCGCGACAACGACGGATACGATCTCGGGACGATGGGGCGTTGCGTTATGAATGTTAAGTCCGGAGTCGACTTATTAGTCACGAGACTCCGCTGGATCCGACTCGTGTAAGCCAACTCGTTTCGCTCGAGCGAGTACGGCACGACGTGTGTCGCGCATCTCCTCGGTGTAATAATTATCCCGGCCTCTCCGGGACGCGCGGTCGGAGAGCAGTGCAATGTCAATAAAACGTTGTTGATTAACGCGCGACTATATTAGCATTGATATTACACTATTAATTTTAATGTATTATTAATGCGATCCGGCGTCACCAATATTAATATTGTTGCGCTAACAATAGAGTAGCAACAACGATACGCAGAAAGAAAACGGTGGCGCTTTATAAAGTAACTTTCGGTGTTAAATCTGTCATTTTTATTAAGGACAGTTGGGACTACCTAAGGAGTCTCAATGCCGAAGGACGTCAATTTGAACGATTTGTGCAATCCTTATAGTTTCTTTCTTACTTTCCATTTTAATGAAAAATGTTCCAAACAATTCTGCTATTGCTTATAAATCGTCAATACTTGATGGATAATGAAAAAAGATGGATGATCATTTCGAACTGGGCTTACATTCATGAGGCATTTTCTCTCTCCCTCTCTATCTATCTCTCCTCGCTCTCCACTCAATTTACATCAGAAACATATTCCTTAAGTTTGTACAGTATGTCGTATAACATCCTGTACATTGATTTACTTTCGTCGTGCGACGTTTCTCTCGTCACTCTCGCTGTAATCTTCACGTTACAAGATCACACGTCCTTTTGGATGGTATGCGTGCGCGCGTATAGGAAGATCTGACTTGAACGATAACGATCTCAGGATCGCAGAATGCTTACCGCAGGTATTATTGGCAATGAGATCACTATGCTTGTATACGTAATGGTCGGAATCCAAACTCTCGTCTTCCGGATGGATGTGATGGAGGTTCTCGCCGTCGAAAATGACACCGCGCAGCCCCGTGCAAGTGGACAACGCCACCCACGAGTCGGGAACATCTCGAACGCTACCTTGGTAATGACAGAGTTCCTGCAACATTTCCACACCACAATTTTACGTGCGGCAAAAAAACACACACACACACATCGCTGAAAAAAAGTCACTCCTCCTTTTTTCCCCTTCTTCTCGCACTCCTTCGATGCTCGAACTTTCAAATCGTAACGATTACCGACATGCAGGGAAACTCGATATTTAATTACGCGACTCGCTTTTACCACTTCACGTGTGTACAATACGTTTATCATTGACTTTCCTTCCGCACAGTCGATACAGCGAAACTGCAAAGTTACTAATTAACTGCTATTTTCGTTGCGCGAATTCGCCGCCGCGAGTGAGGAGAGGCGAGTGTGTAAGTAGCCGTTCGTGGATATAAAGGCGAACTTTTAATTGGATTTATGTTTAACTTAAGCTCCCACGTTCATCCGCCTATCCCCTCCCTCCCTCTTTTCCTATACCCTACATATTTACACGTTCAATTCAATTTTAATCTTTCATTTCATTTGGCCACTTAACGTTTATCAGATTGACAACATATGAATTCGCGCGATAATACTATCACGAGAGAAAGAGAGAGAGATCCCAGTGGGCGATGTGGCCCGGTTACGGTGAATTTCGCGAAATAATCTCGGCTTCTCGGATGCATCGGAACCGCACATCGGACCGGTACAAATATAGTTGTCCCAGATTCGGGGCGTGCACGCGCCACGGCGAACCCGTCGGTGATTTTTCACGTTCCTTTTTCCGCGGCGCGCGCGAGAGAGGAGGAGACTTCCGTTACTTCGACGGGCGGGCGAGCGTTACTCTCCCGAAAGGAATTGCCCCAACAAAGGAGCGCGATCTCGCAGGCGAGGTATCGGGATCGTCTTTGAAACGGGCCGCGCTTTCTCCGGTTACGAGAGCCATCGATCGTGGTCCATTATTCGATTGCCGCACAGGGAAGGTGTGCGAGCGGGATTGAATTAACGGCAACGTGTCGATATCGTTAAGTCGTCCTATCGATTATTTAATGCAACCGTCCTCCCCTTTATTTACCGCAACTGTGACGCAACTTGCACGCTCGCTCCGCCCGAATGGACGGCTGTTTCATTAAAAAGCATGAGAAAAAAAAAAGAGGAAGAGAGGAACGCTACGGTTAAGTTCCTCTCTCGGCCGGGAAGTTCGTCTCGAGAGTTTCTCGACGCCGATGTTCGAAGTCGAGTCCGCGGCGGAAATTAAATTTTGTCATTATGAGGAAAATCGCGCGGCATGTTTGAGAAATTTATATATTCAACGACGCACGAGAGAATCGGGAGAATCCGATAACGCAAGCTCGCGCGCGCTTGGCATTTGAATATCGAATGATCCGACGTTTCGGGCGTGTACTTTGCGGCGACCGGTTAAGAATTTATGTATCCGAGGATGCATTTCTATCGAATGGCTTGAGCATTCCGAGAGTTCCGGCAAAATTTTGATTAAAGAAACGGTACGTCCAGCGCTTGTCTCTCGCAGGCGTGCGCGCGGTTTTCAGGAAAACCGAACAGAAAGATCGCGAGCGTTCGCATTTTTAAGCGATCGTTTCCTCGTCGGGAGAAAATGATGCAGATTGAGAGAGGGAGAGAGGGATGTGTGTAAAAAGCTGTCCACGGAAATGCGCGGAATTATAATTGAGACGTAAAAAACTTAACGCGATTGTGAAACGTACGGAAAATTGTTTGAAGAATTGCCTTTCTCGCGAGCGATACACGTTCATATGCACACACACACACACACCGACTGACACGCACATTGACGCGCTTTTACAATTGAAGAATTATAAAATGGCCATAATCATCGTTCGCCTATTTGCATGCAAGGATATAATCACCGCGGTTCCCGCTGATATATAACGACCGGATAAAGCTTGAACCGGCTTGATTCATTGTCGGATAAGAGAAAAATTTCGCGAGAGCGTAACGTGTTCCATGGAAAGCGCGTTACGAGGCGTGTCGGCGCGGAATATGAAATTTTGTATTCGCCCTCGCAGTAAGCTTATCCTCGCTTCTATTAAACGTAATATCGCGTGTGCGCCGCATCGGAGATTATGTAGATTTATATCACGAGCGCCGAGCGAAAGAAAAATACATTTCGTAACAGCCGCCGCGCGTTCTTATTACCGGAACCGGTGAATTTCAGGTCTCCCGGGCGGCGCGCGCCGCAGCAACGGAACAAGTATCCGATGTATCCTATGTAATAATGGACTACTAATAGTTCCTCTCAACTCGTGGAAATGATATTCGCGCGGACTTCACGGATGATCCGGATCGTTGCGGGAAACGGACGGGAGAAGGTGAGATATGTGTGTTTCTACTCCCATTACACTTTCGAGTTGTAAAATTTCCCTCACACATCCTACGATCCATCCTGCAATACAGTTATGCGTTCATAGTGCCCATTTCGTTTCGGCTTTTTCCCGTGCATCATTTTTCCATCGACACCGTACATTTTCGTATCTGAAATTCCCATCTTATCGCGTGCACTCCCCGCGCACTTTCTCTCTTCAGCTGCTATTCTCGTACGAGCTTAAAATTAGTCCGTCCGTGTAGATAAAGTGATATTTATACCAGCGAACGGAACGACGGGAGGCGGGGTGTTAACTGTGGACGCGGCAATTAATTAAATACAATTGCGCGAAACATTAAATACACGGCCAACGAACTCCGACCGGATCGACCGTCGCGGCGAGTTTTACGTTTCCCGCTTGACTTTTGTCCCACATTTCGGATGACTTTTTTGCGCTCGTCGTCATCCGAGCGGTTGAGCAGGATGTCGCAACTGACGGGCAGAAGCCGCCGATCTATAACGTGGACAATTAATATTATTATTTACTTCCTCTCTGTTATTAATATTACGTATATTTTGAACTAATTGTTGACGCATCATATCGATATCAATTTTGTCATATTTCACACATGTCGCATGTCACACACGGTAAAGTAACGTGCGACATTTGTTTTCCCAAAAATATTTACCGCCAGGAGAAAATAGCTTTTCCATATTTTTTCTTCGTTTCTTTCTTTTTGACAAATTTTCATGATTGACAGTAGTGGAACGGTGTCACTTTTAAGTCGATCAAAGGATCGTGCTTGGTTTAATAAAACGGAAAAAGCATCACATATATGATTCATTTGACTGAAATATCACCTTTCTCGCTGTCCTGCGAAAAATGACGTCTATTTAAAAGCGTCAAGCGCGGCATTTGGAGGATTGGTCTTGTAAACTAATAAATCGACCTTTCTAAAGCTCTCTTACTTCCAGCTAGACCGACAGATTCTTTGATAAGCACGGGACCAGTTTTACCTCGATTAAAATGTACGGATATGGCACATTATTGAGAGCCTACAAAAGAGAAGGACTTCCACCACTCTCAGCCTGCGAAACATCAATTTTCGTTAGCGCGTTCACGCAAAAGTTGCCGCTTTCACCGGGACGATGTAATCGCGCAATTTCGGGCAAAACTTGTAATTAGGCGAATAACTCGGAAACTTTTGCAATTTCGGCAAAATACGAAGAGAAGTGTGATCGCCATTGACTCGGCGCGAACAGAATTTGATTATACATTCAGACTTTCGGTTAACGGTTCGCGTGTGTGTCGGATAATACCAGCGCCGAATGTACACCCGATGTTATATTTTTCGCTTATTCTTCGTTTCTCCCACGGACGAACGACGGGGATTATTAGGTAATTAACGAGGATGTGTAAAACTTTCGAATCCTCAGACGGACGAATGTCGCGCAGTTCCGCGCGATGCGTTCTGTGTCGCGCGCGATTCAACAACGTATTCCGGATGCTCCGTTAGCTTTTTCTCTTTTTACTCTCTCTCACACATCCTTCCTGTCTTTCTCTCTTTCTCCCACTACCGTCGGCGGCGGCGTTAAATTATAAAACGGAAACGTGCCATTCGTGAACAGCCCGCTCGACGTCGGGACCAACGCGTCTCTGCGTTCGCGTGTGTTTACAGCGTGCTCGTCGTCGTCGTTCTATTATACATGCAGACGGCAGACAGAATGAGTCACGCCGATCGATTTCGTCGGCCGTTCGTAGTCGGCGTTACACCTGCACGATATCTATCTACCTACCCACCAACCTACCTATCTACCTTCCCAGCCGCGCGATGACGACGGGAGTATAGTACAGCGGGAGAGCGGGATGGAGAGAAAAGGGAGGGAGGGGAGAGAGAGAGAGAGCGATCAAGCGGGCGGACACCCGTGGAGACTTTTAATTTTCGAGGGGCCGGAAGTTTGGGCGCGGAACGTTTGGAATCAAATGGATTTTTCCAAATAGATTCTCGGCTTTCCGGGAGTGGAGATGTGATGAGGGAATACGCGGAGACAGAAATAGGTGCGGCTGACGAGCTCGAGATGAGAAACGATGTCAGTCTGGTTTAAAACAGACACTTGTTCTCTCATAGTAGTAAAGGTTGACTTGAATTCTTCAATTATTTATACCACACACTCGATCTGATTGCGCAAAACTGAACGCGTCCATGAATATCTAACGCCGTCCAATATCTATCGCCGTCACAGCTGTCTGACGTGGAATGCCAGGAGAAAAAAAAGCTAATGGACGTTAACGTAACGCAATGACTCAGAGAGTTAAGACGGAATTAAACTTCAATCGCACGGCCCTCTGTTTTGCACGGATGTATCGTAAAATTGATACGGTTCCACCGGCTGTGTTGACTTTTAGAGCGTGAAATCGATTTGCGCCGGGACGTCTGAGAAACGACGCGGAGTTTGAGCGCAAAGCGAAAAGGAAGTCGAGAGGAGTCACGCACTAACCGTACGAACAAACTGCGACACACTTGTCTACGATATCGCGAAATCAGTCTCGAGAGAGCGACTGATTCGATATCATCGCTTATCACCGACGTCCACCGAGCCCTTACCGCCACGTTTAATCGTTAATTTTAATTTAAAAACGATTAAATTCAAAAAATAATTTCCCAAACGATTAATGAAAGTCGAGGCGGCGCCTCAAGCCGGAGCCCTGAAAGCAACGAGACGAAATAAGAATCAAATATTCCCCGATCCGAAGGTAAGATTCCTCGCATTGTGCGCGATTTCCTCAGGAGCTAGAAGCTCTGTGTCGCGTCGTAAGGGAAAATTGTATCAATCATCCTTTCAGCCGCGAATCGAACGCTCGGATGCCCACGAGCGTAAGCTTCACGTCGCGCATCAAAAGCCATTACGCGAGGCGATAATGCTGTTCTTTATGTGCCATTCGACGCGTCACGAGTCGCGACGACGGCGAGTGAATGGCCGAACACACGCCGCCGCTTTGCGGCTGAATGGAAATCCCCCGGGTGCTTTCTTGGTGCGGAGCACTCGAAATTACGGTCGATATCGATTAACCGACCGTTGTTTGCGGAAAGCCGGTTAACACGCTGCGGCGCGAATACCGAAGCGCGGTACTTACAACTTTCGACGGGGTGTGCACCTTGTAAGCGCCGCGATGCTGGTAGCGTTGCTGATAGCCGACCGGAATTAGATCGGTGTTCAGTCGAAGGTCGAGAACGCGCTCGACACCGTCCACGTTGAAACCCACCGTCAGCACGTCCGCGTGCTCGATGTCCTGAAAAGGAGAGAAAAAAGAACTTGAGTCTCCGGCACTGCGCACGCTCGAAAATCGCATCCTACGATTTTGTTCGCGGTTCAGACTTTTTCCGAAACTTCTTCGCGAACCATCTTTATTACCTCCTTTCTAAAATGAGATTGCGAAATTATCGCTCAAAAAGAGTGGTTCATGAATTTATTTTCTTTAGGATCTTTTCGAATTTTTAATAGCGTTGATCAATCGAAACACGATTTACACAATGTAAAGATTGATTATACCGAAGCTGAGATAACCAAAGTCGAAGTTAGCATTATTTACATTTATCACAGGTGCGAAAACAGCTTTCACAGTATTACATTTGTTATTGTAACGACCAAACCTGCTCTTACGGTTTTAGTAAGAAACAAGAGAATGATAAAAGAGACTTGTAGAAATATTATAAAATAAAATTGCAAAATCGTCGATCATCTAAGTTTTCCAGAAATTGATGTGTAAAGTACACAATTTTTGATAATAGTAGAGATATACGACGGCTAACCTGTAAAGATTTGACAATATTGCATGTGCTATATTTTATTCCCGAGTTAAATAAAAAAACTTCTGCTGTAAACCCAACACAAAACCAGATATTGTCAACAATTTATCGTATTCAAACTGAACAAAACAACAGCCGATGTGTAATTAGATGTCCGTATACGGGCGTTCGTGGGTGAACTGACACAGAGAATTGAAAACTTGACAACAAACACATGTTTACGAAACACGCGCATTACACGCCGACGATATTACTCGTCGACATTAGAAACTTGTGTGGAACGAGTGTGCAAACAGTCATGTGCAAATATATGATGTATACTCGAAATGAATGGAGAGCACATTGAACATCTGTAGATAAATTGTTTATCTGCTCTACAGCAGAAAATGCTTTATAACGCGAAATTAAATGGTTTTTCGAGTACCGTTTATTAGAACTTTTGTTTATCTTCACGAAATCCACTACGGTTGTTCCGTAGTACATTGAGATCGAGAAATTGATAGGAATCGAACGAGCCTCGAACGACAAAATTCATTTTCCACGTATCGCGCTTCATCCCTTCGCAGTAGACGTCGATCGAGTCCAATTACCGTTTAATTACAGACCGGTGAATTGTTTTCGCTTGAAAGAAGCGACGAATTCGGCATCGTCGCAGCTCGATACGACCGAACAACACGGCCGATTCTTTCTCACGTCGAAGAGCGCCGAAGAGAACGCGATCGCGCGCGCGCACCTGTTGCGCTAATAGCGGCAAAACTATGCTTAGACCCGGGAAAAGAAAATTTCTCCCGTGAAAATTGAATCCCCGAGATCGACGCTGCGTCGAGCAATTAATTTTATACTCGGATGCTCGCTTTCTCCGACCATGAAACCGAGCGGTGGTCCGGATATCCAAGTTGAGCGCGGTGGTAAGTAAGAACGGATGCCGATGGGAATCCCGGTCGCATTCATTCATTGTCGGGCGAATATCGAGCGGCTTATTAAGTAGTAAAGTCGAGCGCACATATATCACTACCGTGTCACTTTGCAAAAATGTTCGGTGATTAATATTTGATTTGATAAAATCAAAAAACAAATATGAAATTTACGTATTTATATATTATTATATTATTTTTCCGCCTTGTATTATATAGTTTGCTGCTTAGTTTTCATATTTAATTAGGACACATTTTAACGCGTTATGATATATTAAAGTTGTTTTAATATTCAATAATACACAGTATAATCGTTAATATATGTATGTTACGGGATTTGACAGCAATATAAAACCGTTAATTGTAAACATCAATTTGCAATGTATTTCACTGATATTCACACATTAAATCTTACACCTTAAATTATTACAATACCATTATGAAAGGTGGATGTCTTTCCATAATCATTAAATGTAATTAAATATAATATTTAATTATTAATTTTCGTAACTCGTGATATTTCACAGCCAAATTATTATATTTAATGTGGATTTTCCTAACAATGAAGATTTCAGAGGGGTCACCCGTTTCAAAAATACCCAATTCGAAACTGATAAACGATAACGCGAACGACCAGGACGACGGTAACGTGACACGTCCGATACCTGATTATTAAACGCGAACGTGACAATCATCCCGCGTTCCACACGCGGAATTATCACTTCGACGCTGAACTCTTAACCAGCGCGCGATTAATCGCGCCGATCGCAGGCAGCGACGTCGAAATTACCGGCGGACGCACCAACGGTCGACGACTCCGCCCCGTTGGTTCGCGTTTGTCGTTTTCCGAGCGCGCGTTAACCCGCTTCGCCGGCCATCATATCGTCGTGCGCGTAAAGCAGTTAGCGATATTAGATTACAACTTTGTGCGTCCGAGGGAGGCGAAATTCATAAACTCTTTGGGAATTCGCCGCCGCCTTTCCGATGTGTGTACGCGTGCCGAGTGCGAAATGAATTTGCGAATCTCGTTTGCGCGGCGGCGAGCGATGTTTAATTCATAGGGGATGTCCCGGACGGGTACTTTTCCCCGCACGCGGGGGCGTGGATGGATCAGCGGACGAGAGCCGGATATGCAACAACAGCACCCCGTGTTCATGTCGCGTCGCGTCGCTGTGCCGGCGATGTCACGGACGCTAACAGTGGTTAATAGTCGGGCTCGCTGACAGCGGTCGTTAATCCTAGACTGACAGGCCGGATAAATTTTTGGCCGCGTCGTTATCGGTGGAAACGAAGGCTCGATTCGCGCTGTCCGCGACACTGTGTAGCCGCGCGTGTGTCTTCGAATTTGACGATTCCCAAATGACGGACATTCTCTTTTTCTCCGCGTGTCGGTCGATGACGAGCGGTGTTCCAGCGGCGTAATTTGCGACACGGGTTGGCTTTCACCTCGACGGAGTCGTCGTGGAATCGGTTAATTCGCGGTTGCGGCGATTAATTGGAAAGCTGCGGAAAAATACGACAAGCACTTTCGACGGGGGAAAATCGACTGTCGCCGAAGCGCCCGTCGCGAAGACTCGACGATTTTAAGTTCCCTCGAGGGAACACCTACGGGGCGCAACTGCGGTTTTTTTGGAGGGAATCCCTGTTTTTGGTCGCCCCATTGTTTAGTATCGCCACACTTTGATAAACAACGTCCCGAATAATAAATATTTTATAACTGAATTCTAGAATCGATCGAACGAAACTTTGGCGAAGGTAATCGTTAATTTTTCAGTTTAAAATAATGATCATTAACAAAGTGATCGTACAAAATATAAATAAAGATCTGTAATACTATTTTCTCCTCTATCAATTTTTATTTATCGTCTTTGTAGACTTCGTTGCCGTCAGGAAACCAGTTATCTCACTGGATCTAGTTATTACCACCAGGCTATCTGTGCTCACACGGATCCAACTTTGTTTTCTGAGCAATAGAAGAATAGGAGCGAAGTATAGCGTCTTGCACAAAAACGTGGAAGATGGAACGAGTGAAAGAAAACGCGCGTAGACCTAGGTCGTAGGTCCGATATATATTAGTGTCAGGATTAATCATCACTATTATGATTCCATTACCGTTTCCTTTTCAATAACACGGCGTGATACCTCCGAGTCTTTTCCTTTTAATCCGAATCTCACCGTCCTGATTTATTTTCAACGGCGTAAAAGCTAGCGAGCTAAAATAAGAGCGTGCTTCGGTCTCCCTATCGCCAACGCATAAATCTTCCCGAGTAAAGTCGGCGGTACATTCTTCCCCCGCAGGCAACGAGAGAACCACCTCTTCCGCGCAACGTTAACTAAACGCTTCTTTCGCTATCTTACGGCCAGAGCTTTGATTGAGGGGAACGGTAGCGGGAGAGAGGAAGGGACAGAGAGAGAGAGAGAGAGAGAAAACGCTAACCGGGAGTTAGTTAATCAAGGTTGTCGCTGCGACCGACGCTTTAGAAGCTCCCAACTTATACGGCAATCCCTTCAGCTGTATTTTACGTTGGTCTTTACGTTTTACAATTTACGTCGACGACGGACGGAATAAAAGGAGCTTTTAACTAACCATCTTCCATCGCGCGCGCACAAAGACGTCGGGGCGCGCCGAGAGAGAAGGGAGGAACCGCCGCTCAGAGCTCTTAATTACTCTAAGTGCCGCGTTCAACTGAAATTGTGGCGGTAATTACCGATGTAACGCAGCGCCGCGAAATTGGAGAGGCCGCGTTTCAACGACGGCAGCCGTGGGCGAGCGAGCGAACGCGCGCGCGACTACGATGGTGCCCTATGCCATCATGAATTATTGATTAACCTCCTTGCGCTTCGACAGAGGCGAGACGCGCCTTGCTCTCGGCGCAGGAGCTGCGCCTATTTGCATAAAAGAGTGGCCAGCGCGATCGTGGAAAATACCGCGGGGAGATGCTGCGCTCTCTTCCCCCTCGTAAACCCTCGTGGAGCCGTACGGAAAATTTCTCGCAATTCAGTCGAGATCTAGTCCGATTTCCCGCAATAATTGTGGATTCCAAGTGGGAATCCACTAGATAGGTGTTCTTTTTCGTTGGAAGCGCAATGCCTGAAATATACGATTCTAAGAGGAAAATAGAAACAGATCATATCTGGTCACCTCCAACCTCAAGCGAAACGCGTGTTTAAAAGACGTTTTGAAGACGTCCTTCAGAACGTTTTAGAAAAACTTTGTGTACTCTAATCGGAATCTACACTGTATCTGGGAATATCATGAGGAATTTTTAATCAGCATCGTGGAAGAGATGCTTTATCCGATGTTTCGGATAAAAATGGGATTCTTAATTAATATCGTAGCGGAATAACCTATTTCGGGACAATTCTGAGTTATTCTAATCGAGGAATCTACGCCGTATAATCTGAGAAAATCTGGGAAAATTTCTACGCGGGAAGATGTCGACACGCGTCGAAGTTGCGCGGTAAATCAGACCGAGACGGGGTATCCGCGCGAGAAAGGCGGAAATTCGCGAATCGCGAAAGTACGATCGCCGAGGCGATTTAGGAAAATTCAATTACGGCGAAACGAA